CGCACAGATAGCTCTGAATTATCCCGATGAGATAAGGGGGCATTTCCTTGTTACTCAGAGATTCGACGATTTTTGGCCACTTTGCAGAGTTGAATGCGTTAGCCACGTCTAACGCGACTACTGCGCATAATTACCTGTGGTAGAGCGGCCCGGAACCAACTGTTTCGACGACGCTCTGGACGCGTTTAATGGCATCGACTGTCGATCTTCCCTTCCTGAACCCGTATTGTCTGTCATTGAGGTTGTTCTTCAAGCCACTTTTCGATCCTGGTCTTAATGACACGCTCGAACAACTTGCCCGCTGTGTTGAGGAGGCAGATGGGCCTATAGGACGTAGGTTCTTCAAGTGGTTTATCGCCTTTTCTGAGAAGGACGAGCCTCGCCGCTTTCCAGGAGCGTGGAAATACACCGTCCTTGAGGCATTTATTGAAGACGTCTCTCAGGATCTCCGGCTTTGCCCTAGCGACTTCCTTGATTACCAGGTCGGGCACACCATCAGGACCAGGCGCTTTTCCATTTGGGATTCTTTTGCGGTGTTCTTCAATCTCGGCGCATGTTACCTCCGGGAAGACGTAACTCTCCGTACATGGCGGCCAAACGGTGGCTGTCTCCCTTGGGAAGAGGGCATCAATTATGTACTCAGCTCTTCCTGGCGCTGAGAGACCTAGGATTGGCCTTCTGCCTACCAGCTTCTTTGTTACCAATTTGTATGGTAGGCCCCATGGATCGGATTCCACTTGTTTGCACAAGTCGTCCCAGCTAGCCTTTTTACTTTTCTTGATGGCAACCTTCAGTTCCTTCCTTGCCAGCTTAAATTCTTCCTTCCTCTGTTCTTGGTCCACGGGTGGTTGGGAGCGTCCCCTCTTGAATCTGCGTCTAGCTTTATTGCATACCTCTCGCAGTCCGGCGATGTCCTGTGTCCACCAGTAGGCAGGTTTCTTGCCTCCTCTGTACCTACCTTTCGGCATACAGCTGTCACATGCATCCTTCAGATATTGATCTAGCCGACCCGTGGCCGTCAGCGTGTCCTCGTCCGTTTTGAAGCTGACCGAGTCAATAAACCTCGCTAATTTTGAGCTATCATTTTTTCGCCATGACCACCTAACCTCGGGGGGAAGGCGCTCCGAGTGCGGTGTTCCCTTGATACTGTAGGTTATGTAACTATGTAGCGATGCGCTGTACTCGTCCAATGTCTTCCAGTCCTTCACCAGGTGACTGCTTCCGTCGTTGACGAACGTAACGTCAATATGCGACCTCGATATTCCACCGGCGTATACTCTTGAAAAGGTCGGTTTGTCGCCGCTATTGCAAACCGTGAGGCCAAGGCTAGCAGCCATGTCCACTAGTGCGCGCCCTTTTGGCTCCTCCGTATGGTCGCCCCAGACCGGTGATTTCGCGTTGAAATCGCCGGCGACTATGAAGGTGCCCACCTGTTGCCTAATGCTGCCTACTAACCTATCCAGGAAGTCTATGAACAGTGTGTATGCGGTATTGGGTGACCAATAGCAGGCGTACACTGTGACGTCCTCCACTTTGACCCATCGGAAACCCGCGTTGTCCTTGAGGCCGATTGCTTGAATATGCAGACCAGGATTGAAGACTACAATGGCTGCCTTTCCTCCGATGTCACTGAACCATCCTTCGGACTCCAGACCGCATCTATATGGTTCGCTAACGACCAGCACATCCGTACCCATGCTAGATGCGGTTGCCAGAGCCAGGTCCTGGGCCACCCTGCATACGCCTACATTAATTTGTAGTACGTGGATCATTGTGGTGTTTCAGCGTCCGCCCTCGCGTCGTCACCGCCCGCCTTGCTGGTTGCCGCCATTAACTTCGTAAAGGACAGAACGTCCTCCTTGGTAGCCACGCAAGTGTTGGCGAAGTGACCATCCTATCCGCAACGCTTGCAGCACTTGGTCCTATCCGGGCCGGTGCACTCCTTCGCTGTGTGACCATGTGCCAGGCACCGAAAACACCTAATTTTCGCGTCACAAAGCCTGACTCTGCAACTCACCATACCAACCCTTAGTCTCCCTTGTTTCAGGATTTCCCGCGTCACTTCTTTGGGTGCGGAGACCAGGGCAAGCTGTGCTCCACCGAAGCGCTTCCGCAAACCGACTAACTTTAGTGCACCCGTGTCGCACCCTGAGGCCGATACCATGGCCGCGAGAACTTCAGCTCCATCTGACCATTGATCCAGGTCCCTGACCTCCAACATCTCCCTCTGCTGTAGGGTCCTGACATCTATGTCAACCCCTGCAGATCTCGCGATTTCTGCTCTCACCGCAGACACTTCGTCAGTGTTGCCACGTACCTCGATGAGGAGACCGCCGGACTTGGCTTGCCTCATTCCCACAACGCGATTCCCTATTATGTCACGGCACGCCTCGCCGCGGATTTTTTTCGCCAACTCGGGGAAGTTCTCCCTACTAACGTCCACCAGGATAGCTGGAGGACGGGTTCTGATACGAGGTTTGGCGGTGCCAGTCCTGCCAGCTGACACATTGTCGTTCTGCTTGTCGATGGGCGAAGTAGATGCAGCTGGGTCGTTGTCCTTGCCTGTTTTCCCCTTCTTCCTCTTCCTCCTCGCTACCTCCGCCCAGGTTCCACCAATGGCATCGTCGTCGCCGCCATCAGGAGTAGACAACATGCTGACCATGCCTTGGTTTCCCAC